AGGGAGCCCTCCAGGCCACCGTCCTAGGCGAGACACGGAAGCCGACACCTGGAAGCCAGGCTAGACTGAGGCCATGGCCCTCGGGGGGGTTGTGATCAGAGACAGGACCTGTAGACAGCCAGGGACAAGCCAGAGGGGAAAGGGAGGTTGGCGGGGAGGAAGGGCTAGCCTTTGTGTTAGTAATTGCTCACGGCTTCCTGGCGGAGAGCTGGTTCTGTGCACGCCCAAGCGCCAGCCTGCTGAGCCTCTTCCCCTGTCACCAGTCTCCCTGTGCCTTAATGCTTGCCCCTGAGCAATGGCATCTCAGAGCTGAATTCCTTTTGAGGTCATCCGCTCCTAGGTTGTTGTAGGAACCCCTGCTTCAACATTAGTTCCCACCAGTGTCCTCTCATGTTTGCATGCTTCCCGTGACAGGGAGTTCACCACCTCCCTTGGGGAATCTTCTGGGATAGAGAGAATCTAGATGACTGACTCACTTTTTTTACTAAAGGGAGTTTTTGTTTGTTTTTTGCTATAGGTCATGTGTGCTCTCCAGAGACACACAGAGAGAAAGTGAGAAATCACTCTCTGGGGGAATGGCCACGCCTCAGTCCCTTCTCCTCCATTCACCTCTTAGGATTTGGGGCACACATACACGCACACCCTGCATGAGTTTCAAGCTGCTGGGTCTGGGACTCAAACCACGGCTGACCATGCAGGAGTCCGGAGCATTAACCACTATGCCACCTGTGGCCCTGATGGCTGACTCTACATACAATTTCAGGGGGCAAAGAAGGAGGCTCAGGAAAAGCTGTATCCCTCTCCCCGGAGATGGGAAGGGAGGCAGCGGAAGGTCACCTGGCAGGCCCATCCCCTCAGGCCTGGGAGAGGCCGTGAGGAAGGCTGACAGGGTGAGGGCTCTGTCACTGACTGATCCAGCCTCTATCTTGGCCGCTGCAGGAGCTGGAGCTGGTGGAGAACCTGCTGAAGAGCAGGCCAGAGGAGCCCGAGGGCTGCTGGGAGGCACGCAGCATGGAGGCTGGGGGCCCCCGGGGCAGCTCGGGCCGCCAGGAACGCAGCCGGCTACCCTGGGAGGACACAGCTGCTGCTGAGGAGGACGCCTCCAAGGTGACTGCCCTGCGGCTACGGCTGGACGAATCCCAGAAGGTGCTGCTCAAGGAGCGAGAGTGAGTCTTGGGAGGCAGACGGGGCGGGGCACCCTCGGGATCACAGGGTGAAATCAGTGCCACAGGAGGAGAGACGCACTAAGGGACAAGTAACTTAGTCTGGAGCCTGATACGTTTAGACCAAGGGTTCTGACCCCAGGATCCAACACAAGTTCTCAATTCCTCACACAAGTAACATATGTGGGGATCCGCTCCAGGCCAGGCACCGTGCCCAGTCGTGCACGAGACGGAAATCCCTGCTTTTGTGGAGTCTACAATCTAGTGGAGGGAGGGCACCCTGTAGAGCCAGGGAAAGGGAAAGGGGTAGGGGAGTGAGAAGCTGCCTGGAATTTGGGTCTGGAAATGTAGTATTTGCAATGACAGGGAGGCAATTGGGCACACAAATGAGCCCAGTTCCTGAGACAGGTCTGGACTGGAGGTAAAAATGCAAGAGTCTGGGACCAGCAGGTGGCATGGTGATTAAGGGGCTGGACACTCTCACATGGCCAACCATAGTTTTCGTCCTGGACCTGGTGGCTTGCTTTCTCACTTTTCCTCTCTCTCTCTCTGACTCTCTCTGGTCAAATTAAAATAAATGAATGAATAAATTAGATTAAATTAAAACAAAACAAAACAAAACAAAAACAAGAGTCTATCAGCAGATAGGTGGAATTGAAAGCTACAAACCAGGATGGTGGAGGAGTGGGTGTGGATCGGGACAATGCCAGAGGATGGACTTGGCCAAGGTTAGAGACTAGTCAGAGGTTAGAGGACAAGGCAACCAGCAGAGGGGACCAGAGCCAGGGGACTGAGGGGGAGGGGAGCCAGGACAAACTGCCTCAGACAGACAGCGTACTCAGCTGCTCAGTAAGAGGAGGACCGAGCACTGGCTGTTGGATTTCGAAGGTGGAGGTCATCAGTGACCCTAATCAGGGCAGTTCAGTGGCCACAGCCTGATCGTGTCTGCAGCTTTCCTGTCCAGAAGTTAAGTACACACACAGGGGCCAGCCAGTGGCATGATAGTTAGGGTAACTGGATCCCACGTGGCTGACTGTACATTCAAGTCTCAGACCCGGGGGCTTGAAAAACTCACCATGTGCATGCACGCCTAACATCCTAAGAGGAGGGTTTTGCTGGGGTTTGAACCCAGGAGAAAGGATTGCAGCATGGCCATCCCTCCTAGGGGGTGCTTTCTCACTTTCTTGCTCTCTCTCTCTGACTCTCTCTGGTGAGCACACATGTCCTGTAGCAAATTCAAAGTAAATAAATGGGGCCAGCAGGCGGCATGGTGGTTAAGGTTCTGGACCCCACATGGCTGACTCCATGGTTCAAATGGTCCCCACAGATTGGAAAACACACCAAGCACACATGTGCACATGTGCCCCAAATTCTCCTCTCCAAGAGAACAGAGGAGAAGGAACTGCAGGATGGCCATCCCCCTTGGGGGCGGGGGGTGATTTCTCAACTTCACTCTTTTTTTTTTTTTCCCTGTCTCTGTCCCTCTCCGGTGAGTGCATGTACCCTACGGCAAAAATCTAAAAATAAATTAATAAAATGCTAAATAAAGCGCATCGTAGAACCTGTCTGCACACATGATACTAGGTCACCGGGAAAGTTATGACGTATCTTTTTTATATTTTTCTATGCGAAAATGCGTCATAGCTCTCTCAACAACCTGATATTTTCAAAAATCAGTGTAGGG